CAACGAGCTCTGGGAAAGTAAATTTTTTCAATAAGTATGTATGTCAATTTATTGTCAAAAAATAACTTACTCCGAAGTTCAACTTCCATTTCACAACCCATGTAAAATGAACATGTATCTAGAAGGCTAATAGCCTGTAACCCGGTCATAACTATGGGAACCTGACATTACTAGTATTTACCCAGATCTACATGGTGGATGTCATTCACAATGTCAAGAAAGCAGAAGATGATTGCCCTTCTGTAACACCTGGTCTTATTCTCCTTGTACTTTCTGTTTGTTCCATATGTTGCTCTCATTTCATCAATTTTTTAGTATTATTTGTGTTGTTTATATATATTTGTATTCTGCCTTTTTTTCTTTTTTTTCAAATTAACTAATAATGCACATGCCACTGAGATTTAATCAAACATTTGTGCTAAGATATCACATACTTGTGATAGGTTCATTCAAAATCCAAGGTCTCAACACAGTTTTAACAATAGCCTTTTAAAAATGATTTGAAGCAGTTGTTTATAATGTAATGTCAATAGAAATAAAATAAAAAGGAGATACTGTCAATAACAAAACTACAAAAAAAAGAGGTCCAAGGGCCTTAACAGTCACCTGAGTCACAATGCTTCTTGTAACATGTCATGTTAAAAAAAGTAATATAACTTTAACTATATTGTACACACAATGCAAATGTAAATTGTGTATACATTAACTGCTGTCTCATGCTAATTCTTCTAATCAAGTTTGAATCAAAGGAAATTCCACACAAGATTTGAATTTTCCCATATAAAATCTTTCATCTAGGAACCATAGAACATATTTGAATTTTCAGTCAATTTGACCCATTTTGACTCCAACCATCAGCCCCTGGGGGTCAGCCAAAGTCAATATAAGCATCTCATTAAATGGTCATCTTAAACTAATAATTCTAACCAGTTTAGAATGCTTTCCAACAGAAAATAAACAAATAATGTTCAAAAATAGTTTCCTTTATAATCTATAGTAAATTTTACCCCCTTTCCAGGGGAAAATCTGAGACCTAGAGTCATGAAATTTACAATTTTGGTTAAGCATCTTAATGCCTTTCCATCCACGAAGAGTACTTGATTCTACCATACCTGGAATTTGAGACGAAAATTTTTGAAGTTTCAATCAATTTGACCAGTTTTGGCTCCACCCCTCAGGTCCCTGGGGGTTGGGGACCATATAATTTAACATTTTAGTGCATCTTTAGCATTGAAAGATTTTTTTTTCAATTTCACTGGCATCGGTTCAGGAGTTAGCCAGAAGTTAAAAATGATAAAAGCTTACAACGCACAACGCCAGACAAAAGGAGATCGCAATAGGTCACCCCGCGACTTTGTCTAAGGTGACCTAACAATACCTTATAAATATACATCAATAATTTCCATACAACTTCCTTTAAGGCTTTCGCTATCCGGCATTTTCTTTGATCACTTTTATCAATAATATCCAGGTAGCTCCTTGGCATTACGAAAAGAATTGAAAGAAGTCGTGACAAACCTTAGAATGAAGCGAAAATCTATTTGTATTGTAATATTACTTTAAGAAGAAATTATTACTTCAAAGAAAGCATTCACTCACAATATGCCTTTTGTTTCATTATTTTCCAATTCTGGGAAGGCAAGATATTGATTACAACAAGATGTGGTGTTTAGACCATTAAGATATATATCTGATAATGGATTCACATGCACATGTGTGATGTATGAAACCAACTATATTCTCCAATTACACAGTTTCCATTTGAACCATTTCAATTATATCAAAACAATAAATATTTAAGAAAATAATTTTAAACTTTTTTTTCTCATGTTTGCATTAGATTATTATCTTTTCAACAACTATTTGCATTCATTAGGACCAAATTTCAGACATCTATTTTTGTGTGTGTGTTTGTTCGCAGTGTGGTTTACATGTTAGGTTAAAAACAGTATATTCAACACAGAGTTATGTTGACATAGAGTGAGCATCAGTATAATAGACTTAAAGATAGATGTAATAAGGATTCGAGATAAATCATTGTAGTCTTTCTTCTTTTGAAAATTTATTCCCTTTGAATATGCATATTAGTTTCCTCCAAGTTTCGTTGTAAAGAGACTGTTCATGCATTCTGTTCTCTCTGAATAAACAATACATGTGATATTGTCTTTGAAATCTTTAGAATACATGTATATAATGTAATAATTTTGAGAACAAGATAATATTTAATCTTTTTAAACTTTTGTAAAACTTATCTGTCCTACAAATCTTTATTCCAACTCCTAGATAAAGCACACAATAACTGTTTTACAAAATTTTACAGACTTTGTTGAATTTTTTCCAACATGAATATCTGATTCTGGAGGTGTGACAGATGTCCTAGCCAATGAGAAAATCAGGCTAAGAAATGGATGCCCACAAAATATGCTTGAGTCATGAAATTATTTGTTATATTTTGTTAATTCAATGTAAGAAACTTATAAGAGTATGGATCTTATAGGTGAAGTATACACATCATCAGATTGTCTATAACTGCTAGCTATCTCATACTGAAAGTAGAACAGAAAACCCTTCAGAATGTGTTACTTCCTGCCCAAGGTGCGAGCATTCACCAGTTGAAGATATTTCATAGGGACCTCCACTGTACAGAGGAGTTTTGGGGTTTGTTTGTTAGCTTTATTGTCTTATCAACTGCAGGGATCATTCTGAGGCATGGTCTTCTTGAAGTACCTGGTGGCTACTTCACTGAACAACATGTGAGAGGCCCATTACATGCCATAGAGAGCAATTAGGTGATCTTCACCGAAGGATATGAGCCACTAGTCAGCATCAGAGTGGTATACTGAGTCATTAGTATGCACTGTCACCTACCATTTTAATGACATGGAACAAAACAAGTAAGATTTAAGATATAATAACAACCAAAACCATTTATTTAAGGTTTTTTTTCTGGATGTCAACAAAACAGCAAATCAACAGAATGTAGCCAGCCTTTAGGTGCTCTCGTCACAAATTTGAATTACAATGTTATACCAATATTCATTATTCAAACAAATATGTACAATTCCCAAACATATAGTATACACAAATATGTATAGTGCCCATCCTACCTTAGAATGACAGGTCTATATAGTAGAAGCAAACATACACAATACACACTTGAATTGACATCAAGTGAGATTTTCACACCAGTCGACCAATACCTAAATGTATCACCATCATATTTTGTTGGTTTTCAGTAAGGCACTTCAGCAATTTACAGAGGTAAACAAAAATGAATAGATGATATACATCTGATCAAATGACAAAAAATTCCAACAGGTTTTATTTGATAAATACATCTATATGTAATATATATCTAATCATTTGTTTTCATACAAATATGTATGTGTATACCAAGTATATATAGCTAGCTTACTGAACCTTTGGATTTTACTTTCATGGTGATGAGGTGGGGGTGGGTGGGGTGTGTGTGTGTGTGGAGCTGGGGTACCTGAGGAAAACTCACATGCTCGGGCAGGTGACCCCCCCTACCTGTTCACATTTAATAGGATAATCTAATCCCTGTTGCCTATGTTAAAGTGTTAAAGATTGAACCTCTGTTGCCTAGGTGAAAGATTAGTGAATTTTACTGTATCACCCAACCAACCATTACAAATATTCTGCCCCATGCTGAAACCGTAGTTCACGAAGGACCTATGCAAAGTTTTTAGATGGTTACTCAAATTATGAACATATAATTACGTAGATAATGTTATGAAACATCTTAAATGACCTAGCATTTAAATGCCTCCCTTCAAACTTTTTAATTACACATAATTACTTTAAAGGTTTTATTTAAAAACCTGATGAAACTATATACCTGGGCTTTAAAGCAATCTTTAACTAGTTCACCTAGAGGTCTCCCTAAGTACATATGTAATTTTGAAGTTGAAATTTATGACTTATAGGGGTGAAATGATTGTTAGACAAAAAACCTTAATTCTAAAAGAGCTTGAATTAATAGTTAATTCCATTTTGATTATAATTTTACCTCTATTCTCTACCTTTTTTGTATCTCCATACTTTACAAAATTAGATATCATGCTCATGTCTTGGATACAGTAACATAAAAAAAAGATTTAATGATAATCAATTATAAAATCTAAAAAAATACCGGTAGTTCCCTTTTCAAAAAAAGATATTTGAATCCAGCTGATTAAAAAGTCATTTTAATCTCATGATCATCATTTTTTTTGAGAAATTTGGAAGGTTTCCCAGAACTACAGGATAGTTTTTTCAAAAGGATTTGGGGAAGTTGGTTCCAGTAGCTTTTCACTCTGATTGTAGTTTCATTACACATTATTCATGAATGTAATTATCTCATTATCATTGAGTCTCGAGTTCTTCAGGTTTATTACACCAGTCTGTCCCTAAAGGTAGAATATAAGAGTAGTACCTGCTGCCCCCACTGCATGATTATAAGAGGGGATTAAACTTGGGATATCCATCTCTTCTTGTATTCTTTTACATCTTTCATATCATTTCCCTTGACTTTAACCTCACTTTTGACTTTTGAGATGAGCGCTGGCTTGAGTGAAGAAGGTAATGGATTTTACCTAAACTAGACTAAGACAAATCGAAGTCTGAATAGATTTACTGCTATCTATTTCAGTGTCAGTAATAATGCCTTGGGAGTAAGGACTGGTCAAAGAGCTGGCAGTATTACATGACCAGGTGAAATGTCATGCTACCATGCCATAATTATGACATTTCAGTGAGATGACACTATAAAGCGCCCTTGAGTGTCTCCTTTATCTGTGGATATCATCTTCTCCAAATCACCTTTGCTATTGTCAAGATATAATACACAAAATAAACAAGCAAACAAACCTACAACAGGATTAATTTTTTTCACCTTCACAACTCTCCTGTACATTGTACCATGTACATATTTTGCACCAGAAGGTTAATTTGATGAACAAAGAAAGAAATACTGTACAAGTGTACTTCTGGTTACATACCTGCTGCAAAGGATGCTGCTCGCTCTTCAGACACAAGAAGGGTTCGTGCTTGGGTCCCAAGAATATGGAGCAGATGGCTGTCACAAAGTTGCAGCAAAGACATTGCATAGTTTGCTTTTGACCAATAGTTGGCCTTCTGAAACCAATTCCATGTTGTCAAAATGAAAGCTTCAACATCTTTGGATGGAACAGCACGATCAGAACTGAGCGAAGCTGTATCAGTTTTCAGACTGGGCGTTGTTCGACTCCTGGCATATGTAAAATCTTTATATAACAAAGGCTGTAACAAAGTCACCATCTGCTGCAGCAAATCAACACTCTGAAACCGTCGCATTAGCCCTAACATAAAACGTTTTTTAGAATGGTCTCCAAATTTTCCCAACCATTCCTTAGCCTCTTTTAATTTAGTATTCAGCTGACAAGATTCACATTGTCCACATGCTTTTTTAGTGTTTACACAACGCATGTGCAGTGCCTGTCCAATGTTGAACTCGAAAAGCTCCACATTGTTATTTGGGTGTTTCATCACCCCATCACTCAGACTGGACATGCTGGTGTGAGGGATTTGTTGACACACCTCAACCATGGCCTAAGTAACACTCCTGATGACTCAGTGGTACCTTATCTGTAAAACAATTTGGACAGGAATCATCAACATGTTTAAAATCTTTATCTTTATTGACATTAATTAAATACGAGCAATTATATTCTGTAGTTTGATACAGCACTCTGTTTTACAGAAAACATTGATACTCTATACCATACAATCTCGCTCAATGATTCCCACCAAAATTATCAATGATTTCCTGTCGATCTACACCACAAACCTGATCAATAATTTCATTCCCATCTATAATACAAACATGATCAATACTTTAATTCTCGTCTACACTATAAACTTGATCACTGATCCCCTTCCCATCTACAAGTCAAACTTGTTCAATGATTCCCTTATCATTCACGTCACAAATTAAGACGATGATTTCCTTATCATTCACATCACAAATTAAGACAATGATTTCCTTCCCCGTACACACTACAGACTTGATCAATCACCCCCTCCCATCAACATTACAAATTTGGTCAATGATTCTCTTCCTATATACAACACAATTTGTTCAATGATTCCTTCTCCATCACAAATCTGATCAATAATTCCTTCACATTCTACACTACAAACTTGACGAATGATTCCCTCCCCATCTACAGTACAAATTTGGTCAATTATTCCCACACCATATACAGTTTGAACTTGATCAATGAATCCCTCACAATCTGAACTACAAACTTGATGAATGATTCCCACCTCACCTACAGTACAAATTTTGTCAGTTATCAATAATTCCCTCACAATCTAAACTTAAAACTTGACAAATGATTCTCTCGCCATCTACATCACAAATTTGGTCAATTATTCCCACACCATTTACAGCTTGAACTTGATCAATGATTCCGTCATAACGTACACTTCACACCTGATCAAGGATTCCCTCTCCATATACACTACAAACTTGATCATTGAGCCTTGCTTTTACTAGTATCTTTAAAATCTTATAAAAAAATCTATAGATTCTGTATCTAAAGAGTTGTTAAAATGTATCTTTTAAAAACAGTTTTAGCACATGATTTAAAGGTTTGTATAACCACCAAATTCAATTTTATGGTAGAAAATATTAACATATATTACCTGGTACCAGTATGTATCTACATTTACACCTATTTTAAGCTGTTATACAAATTCAAATTCTGGTTTAAAATGTAAACAAAGTGTTGCTTAAAATGTTAAAAACCAAAATGTTAATATCCTGCTAAAAGGGCCAAGATTTTAAAAGAACTAAACTTTTTTTTAAAGAAATCACTTAAATTTAATATGTGCAAATTAATTTTATTTCTTCTCTTTTAAATGTCCTTTTACTCAACTGTAGATTTTTGTTCACTACAATGAAGTTTGTACTTGTTTGTAATTTATACTTTGTTTCACGGTGGTTAAATGGGATCCAAATATGTATTAACACAAAGCCACTAACAACTACACTGGTTCAATAATAAATGAATTATAAAGCACGGCACAATCCTAACCTTATCAATACTGAACAGTTTGTCGATTAACTTTGTCAAAAAGATAAACAAATTTGTCAATGACAATTTTTCTTGGTGAGTCACAACAAACTAAGTTTATTATAACTAAATTATATACTAGAATTTATATGAAAACTTCACATTGGAAAAAAAACACTCACCTGGCAATGACAGAAACAATCACACGGGCACATATGCACATATTAAGCACACCTTGACTGTTTTATAAATACTGCAACACTGCCAACAGTTTCAGACTTGGCCTCTAAAGACTGCGATAGAACAACGCCTGTCAATCAAGTATCGATTTTGTATCACACAGACATCTCGCTCTCTGAATTCCGTGGAGATGGGTTGTGTATTGGAGTGTTCTGCCAGCTGCTTTAGCACTACATGATTGGTGTGTAACACAGTCATTACGAGGTGTAAATATCAGCCATACCGGTGCAACTACCTGTCAATGATGACGTCCCCAAGGTGACAACGCTTGTTTATGTCGCATACAGAGCCATGCGTAGCGCACTTGGTCGATAGTTTCGTAGTTGTCGCCTATGTTAGTTGTATTTTCTTCTGTTTCATAATTCAATTCAATAATTCCTTTACGTTTCAGCTATTTCCAGAACTTTGTGTTTATTTCCAAACAAGTTTCATTAAGAATTACCATCTTTTAAAATATCTAAATTTTAAACGGTCTGCTGCAACGTTAACAAGATTAGTTAGCTTTTTCAAATAATGATAATAAAATGAAATTCTATTTTTTTGTATTTTTGTACGTCATTATATTCAAAATTCATTAAGGTATCTAGAGAATAATTGTATGTGATATAGTATCAAAGGATATAAGTGTGACAAATGTTAAAATGTTATCGATGACATCATGCTATTTCATGAATATAGACATGTAAAGCTTGTGTAATAAGTATTGTTATTAAACCATAGGCTAACGTAATAGTTTACCATGCTCAAGGAATGTCGTGGAATTTAGGGAAACAGTCAAAGTCTAATTGGTTCCAAACTTGAAAGTCATGTTCAGGGATTATTTAAGAATATTGTCCACTAAATAGAATATATTAATCACCACTATGTGACATATTAACTAGAATTCTATGATGAAATAGGTCTAAAGATCCATCAGTTAGACAGAAGGAGAGATATTATGTTATAATCAAATTGGAAATTTACCTGGAGAAAGTGTATTTTTTAAAGTGGACATTGTCTGTCGGTATTGTAGGTGAATATAACAAAAAGATTTTTTTTTAAAATCAGTCTAGAATTCGGAACATGATGTCAAAATAATTAAGCAACTAAATGCAAAGGAATATATAAAATTACTGCTTTCAAAGTGATACCTGAGTGTGGCACATTCTTCCTATACCATTGAATAATGAAAGCAATGCGATCCATAAAGGAAATCATGGGCAAATAAAATCTGAGACAAGTTGGCTATACAAAAGTAGAGACATTATATGGAAGCAAATTTTCTGTTTACAGTAATACTGACCTTAAATTTTAACCACTAAAAACGAAAAGCAATTCAAGTGAACATTTTCAGCACAAAGTCAATGCATAAAGACTGAGAGGAACAGAGCCCACACAACTCAATATTGTTTGGGAATCAGCTGAAGTCTCTGTTGATAGTAGTACCAATGACCTCTGACCCTTGGGCATGAAAATTAAACCTGAGCAAGTGCTATTTGCAATAAAGTACTGTATGATTTCTGAATGGAATCATTGTACAGAACTTAAGGTATTGTGTGGAAACCAATTTTCTATTTAAAGTTATAATGACCTATATCAGTCTTTGGTCATATTGACTTACATGTTGAGGAGGCAGGTTTGTTCTAATTTTCAACAAATGAAAACAATGCATAATTGCAGGTACCAAGCAGAGAGAAACGGTTTGACTTTTATTGGACTACCTGTGAAGTCCCTATCCAGATAAAATATTCTTTTCAGGAAAAGCAGAAATAACTAGGTTTTCTAATGGTAGCACTAGTAGCAATCCTGCAAGTGACACAGGTCCTAACTACTTACTATTTGTGAACCACCCACATTATTGGAAGTCACATCTTTTGCAAAGGTTTAAATCTTATCAAGGAACATCAGTAGAGTTTTTTTTACCATATAGAACTTATAAAACTTTCCACTCAAGAGAAGTAGCAATACATGTACTTCAAAAGAGATTTCCACTGAGAATGCCAATCCCATCATCTTAAACACAGCATGTGTCCACAATTACAACACATAAGTGGGAGTCCTATCACAGCAAGTTTCCCTTCAGAAAAAGAGTAATACCAGGTAATAACAAGATTTTCAATATGGCAGCAATAGTGGCCATCTTGAAATCAGCTCTGATAAGATTTTTTATCTATGAACATCAGTGAACCATACACCATTTGTAAGTGAAAGTCCTGTCTTAAATATGACTTTTAATTCAGGAATAGTGATACCAATATTTTCAAGGTGGCAGCCATCTTGAATATCACATTGGTCCAAGTTTTATTATAAGGACCATTACAAGACACACTTGAGGCAGTTCTGACTATATATTACTCTCTGTTTAGGAGTAGTAATGATAACATCTAATTTCCATTTAGAGCATCTCAGTGATGGGCGATCCCACTTCTGAATCATCATCTATTAAGGACTAGCAACAACACAGTATTGTTATTGACAGACAGACTGTGCACTATGGCCAGTAGAGGTGAAAAAAGTCTGACGTAAAATTATAATATCCAGATGAATGAAGTCAAAGGGGCAGCTATATTATGTGTGAAGTTTCAGTGAAATCAGCCCAAAGGTTTAGGTGTTGTTGTCTAGACAAAGATATGTTTTATAACAAATATCCCATTTGCAGAGAGAGGGTGGTTATGAAATGTGTTAATTTTTTAATGAGTTTAGTTGTCAAGATAAGATCCAGGAGACAGATGGGCAAGTTGATTCCAGCCCCCATATTGATCATACTATAACTAATACAGGCATATACATATTGACTAATATACTGTACCTATAACCAGTACATCATTGGTAACCTTAAAACTGCAATAACAACAAAGATTTATCATTCTTGATAAAATAAGTTTATTAATTAGTCAAAACTGTACGTTCTTTATCATGTAAGCAGCAAAAAGCACTTCATAAAATAATTGATATGTTGTTACACCCAGTTATTGACCCATGTAAACAGACAAGCGTTCACTTTTTTTCAAACCAAATAAAATGGACTGTACATTAATCTCACTATCAAAAATACCTATCAAATATATATCTATTTACAATAAGATCTTCCCGTAGTATTTTAGTGGGGTTTTTTTCACTGCAAGTTATCAATGGATTGGTTAACACTAATCTTCACTCACTGGATACTAGTGACTTTAACCTGATAAATATTGGTTTAGGTTCATATCTGTTCTCAAACCAGCACTTTTGAGACCATAGTCCTATAATGGTAAAATTCCACTTATAAAAATCAATTTCTTTTTCAATTTCAATGAACAGCTGAAAAAA